TTTTCTTCATTATGATTTCCTACCACGTAGTAACGGCTACATCCATCAATTAATTGATTAATTAATCATCATCTTCATCACGAACGAGTCTCTGTGATCAGCTGTGATGGCGTCATGGCAACAGAATTCAGAGTGGGGACGGAGTGAGAGAGTAATAGATAGAGGAAAGTGAAAAAGGAATAGAAACGCGGAGAGGGAAATATAGGCATCACGCAGCTGCACGTATTAAACTTTTTCGACGAATTTTTGCTATTTCGGCTTGCGGAAATCGTCAGATTATATATTTTTTGATATCCTTGAATTATTTTCTTCAGAATAAAAAAAATTAGCTACGCTCGAAAATGTCGAGATGACGTTTTTTTACAACTTTGCTGCCCTTCCCTTTCTTTACGGCACTCTCAAATTGTCAGATTACTGGAATATACACTTTTTAGCATGTAGTTAACTCACCCTACCTTAATCTGACGCGCTCGAGAATTTCTGATTATCAATTTTTTTTGACTAATCTGATCCTTTATCCTTCACGGGCGGCCTTATATATGGAGCTCATATTTGGTGGAGGTACTTAACCAAGTACAAGTTATCCCCCTGTATATTATTCTGCCGCGCTTCAGTAAATCCCGAAATCCCCGCTTGGGCTCCCCTATTATAGCTGATGACATGTTACGAAACACTGATCAAAGACTATGCACTATGTTGACTCTCCTGGAGATTGGCCGTGCATTCGATGCCATACACAACCGCTTGCTATTGAACATATAGCATTTTATGGGTCTCTCCACAGAATTATCATTAATGAAATTTCCTCTCACCTACATAGAAAAAAAACTTTTGGTTTTGACGTCCAAAATTCAAACATAATGTTCAAAGGCACTTTGACACCTTTCAAAGTCTCCCAGAATAAAATAAAAACGTATTTCAAATTTTGAAAATCGCCTCAAATCACTTCAAAGTAGTTAGTAACCTAATGGTTGAATCCTTATTTTGATATCTCGTTCTCTTTTGAAATATCATCATATCATTGTCTCTTGGGCAGTCTTATTAACTGATGGATGAAATTCAGCAAGCAACCACTCATTATCATTATTATCGTTATTTTCATAATTTTTTTCGGTAATCAACTTATAAAGCTTTCCTGTTTTCATTTGCTTTCTCTCCTGAAAATGGAACATCCTTCTGAACACCCTTTTCAAGATACCTATCTGAACTCCACCTCTCATCATATTTTCTCTTGTCATAAATGCATATTTGTATATGTGTATTTCGTTGTATATCATGAGTGAAAATAATGAATACCTCAATTATTACTATTATTATCAAATCCAGCTGGGCAGTGATGTGGCAACGCGCTACTGTATGTTCCTATATATCGTAATATACAGGATGTTCCATCATCTCAGACGAGCTACCTCGTATATTTCTTATATATTTCTCGTATATTTTGTTTGAGAGACATCTTTTGGCGTATATTTCAGGCTTGAACGAGCAACTCCCTAATATGGGGCTCTTCAATCCCTCAAACTTGAATAGGGGGAGGGGTTGAGTGATATTTTATTTGAAAGGCTTGGTCTATGAAAACTTGATGGAATATCATATTTCAAAACTTATTATTCTATANATCATCAATTGACTTCATTAATGTATCATAAACTTTCTTTTGTTGGGGATTCAACAGTGGTACATTCGTTTGAACTACTAAATCTAATTCCTCGTCATCGTATTCACGTTCCCGTTCCAATTTTCGATTGAAAGCCATACTGACGAGGCGCTCTTAAAGGGCAATTCCTTGTGCTTCTTCAGTCATTTCATCCGCAATGTTTCGTATCCTTCTTGCATTACGGCTTTGTCGGAAAAGATTTGATCGTCTTGGTCGCGGCATTGTTAATGATGATTCAAAGTCATTTTTATAATTGTCAAATTTTTTACCATACTCAACCATTGAAAAAATTACGTTTAGCTGTCATTTACTTTTTTTTGTTATTCCATGTCAGATGTGTTTTTGCTATACCACGTTTCATAGTGACTTCATGGAAACGCGGTCGAACGGGATGAAAAGTATCCTATGTCCCTCTCCTTGTTCTAACGCGTATTAACAATATCGATTTTGATACAAATCTTAATTGTTTTCAAGACGAATAATTGGTATTCTCGTCAAAACTTCGTATTATTCAATTTACGACGAGTACTTCGTGAAAATTTGGGAAACAACTTTTAGTGAGGTGTTGTAACAGAGTGGATCATTAAATCAGCGTGACGTGCCGACTTTGAAATGAATTTTTATACTCAATACCCAATCTATGATGAGTACCCCTATGAAATTTTGTGAACAACCTTGTAGTGTTGTGTGCTAACAGGGTGAATCATCAAATCAGCGTAACGTGCCGTACTGACTGATACAAATGTTTATATTCAGGAAAATGAAAAATTCATATTTCCCAATCTACGATGAATACCAGAATGAATCATCATATTTGCGTGACATGCCGTACCAACTTCGATACGGATTTTAATATTTGGGAAAATCAAAAAATTCATATTTTCCAATGAATTTTTCATGTTTCTGAGTATATAAATTCGTATCGAAGTCGGTATGGCACGTCACGCTGATTTAATGATTCACTTTATTAGAACACCTCAACTAAAAGGTGTTTCACGAAATTTCACAGGGTACTCGCCATAATTAGGAAAATATGAAGGTTTGTCAGAGAATAGGAATTATTCGCCTTCAAAAGGCGCCCAATTAAACATCAGCTTTAGATTTATGAGAAAGTTATCGACACTGCTTTCAATTTTTCCTCTATCCTAACATCACCAGCCAACAGGTGAGAAACAGTAAATGGAAAAGCATGGCTAACTTCACGCTAATTTTGGATTTTCATCAAGTATCGGCCGAATTCATCAAATATTATAATAAATGAATCTGTCCGAATTGAGTTGAATTAAGTTGAATCAAATCAAATTGAACTCTATTAAATTTCAGTTTATCATGTTTTTCAATCAAATCATCTAGATGTACTCCTGTTATATGATGTTAAAACCTAGATCAGGTCCTAGTTTTGAATTATTTATAAAAATAATCTTGGTTGAGTGGTAGAATATCGTGAGATAAACTTCGCCCAAAATAAAAATGAAGACTATTTATTATTAATAAAGCAGATTCAAAAGCAGAAGAGGCATCATACAACCATCTTGACAGAGTGGTCTAAATAGAGTCTAGTGGAGTTCGAAGGAAAAATCTCGATAATCTATCCGTTTTTTCTCCTCTTTTCGGACGATAATCGTCTCGCCAGGAGCTGAAAACCATACGAGAGAGACCATATTGCACTGGTGGTCGAGAAGAAATGCGTCAGGATCATTGGTTTCTATGAGCCTAAATTCGGCACTTCTCATTTCTCACAATGGATTAAATATCCCCCGAAGCCGTAGGGCAACGCCGGTGTATCGCCAATACCGTAAAAGTGCCGTAGATAGTACTACAGCACCCTTAGGGACGCGTTATGTCAATAAATATAGGCTGAAACCGCATATGCTGAATATGCTAACAGCAAGTGCATTACGGTCTCAGACGCCTCGCGGCAGGCCCTGCACATTGTGCCAGGAACCTATATACCCATCACGCGACTGCGGTAGACTCTCAATTTCCGACTTCAGCCCATTCGACTTGAGGAAAGAGAAAGTCAGGCGCTTCGATAAGAGCCATGCATTGGTTTGCCTTTGCGTTGCCGCAAGAGTGAAGTGATGTCTGCGGCTTGTATATGGGCCTTTTGCTGAACGGGTTCCAACTCGGTGATAGAGTTGTGGTCACCTCGTTCATTGACGAAAACTGAATAGAGAAGGGGATCCGAACTCCTGATGACTTAACAGGACCCATCCAGTACCATCCTAAGGTATTCAAAAAACACTTCATAGTGAGATTTTCACTAAACAGTTTCACAAAAACGGCGTTTTTGTGAAACTGCTTAGCGAAAATCTCACAATATAATATTTTATTCTATACGTTTGTTATGGATTTTCATCTAGTATCGGCCAATTCTATCATATATATACACGTCCATTCTGTAATGAAGACACTCCAAACTGAAAAGTCCACGGCATTCTTGTTGTCGGCGAAAGTACAACCGTGGAACGGACGATTTGTAATGCAAAGTCCTATGGAGGTGCGTTGTTTTTCGGGTCTTTTCGTTGAATTTATACAGCTCCTTCCGAGCAGAGTAAGATCGAAAGGGCAAGCATATTTGTTGCAACACGTTTCTTCTTTCCCTACAGTTCAGATGACCAGTTTATGATGATATTTGTGATGATATTCACTGCTGTTACCTCTTGTGAGTGGCGGTGTTTCACCCCGAAGTAAGTATACGTCTCTTCGGCATCAAGATGGTGTAGGCTACCTCCATATATGAGCTGTACATCCTCTCCGTAGTACTCTTTTGAGATGGACCGTTGCACATTTGTCTATCCCGAATTTTATACCGATAGCATCCGTGTACTCTTCCGCCATACTCAAGGACCATTCATTATCAATATTGTTATCACAAATGAGAATGCGATGATATAACTGGAAATTAAATATGACGAAACTCGAATTGGAAAAATATTCCTGAAAAATTGATCATTTGAGGTATAGGGAGAAAATTTTTTTTGGATTCACAATTCTCATTGAGTGTCAAATAAGTTATTTCATTACCTTGGTATGACATTATGAGACATAATACGACTTACTCATATGAACAGGTTGCACCGGTATGAGAGATAATAGATGATTACATGAAAGCAATTCCATTATCTGAATTCTGAATTAGCTTCCATATTCAAACTCGTGATGAAAGATCATCACTTCTGGCAATAATAAACATTCTATAATTCAAAACTGTTACTATACTCTGGAACACTCACCAGGTTGTACAAGTCGCACATCCAGAATCTTGTCCACCTGCGAGTTATAGGCTGTGATGTGGAAAACACACTCCGGTGAATCTTGAATACAGGTTATGTTGACTGGCACGAGATCTTCACTGACTTGCTGCCACTTAACAGTTCCCGCGCCACTTGCTGATACGTGGAAAACCTCCGCCCATAACCTGTAATGAAGAAACATTAGGAAAATTTCGTAGCGAACATTTAAAAAACACAAAATTTTATTTCAGCTCAGGAAGTTTACTGTACATCTCCATAAGGAGGAGCTACTAATTTTATTATCAGAATTCCATCCATATTTTTATCAAAGTACTCTTGAACACTATAATACATCTGATCAATGAGAACTTGCTTTATAGACTTCCTGAACTGATAAGGTGAATAGATATCCTTAAAACTTGTTGGTATATGGTTACATATTTCAGCTGCATTATAAAGCAATGAGTTTTTAATCATATTAGATGATGGAATAGTCTTAATTTGTCGTTTTGGCGAATGAAACCAACATGATGATTTTTTCTTATGTACTAGGCACACAGTTTCGAGTATGAATAAAGAAGAAAGTGTTAGTGATTTTTGCTCCTTGAACAAGGGTTTACAAGACACTCTAGGCCAAATTTGCACAGATATCTGATGGCGCACTTTTGGAGAATGAAGACTGTATTGAAGTGGTATTGGTTGCAGGTGCCCCAGAATGATATGCCACTTAGATGCGATTCAACCACAGCGTGGTGCACAATTTTTGCGGATCCAATTCATTTGACACCGTTCGTTCAGCAAATTAATATGTTTATTGAAATTGAGGTTGCTGTCTAGATTAATTTTAAGAAATTTATTTAGTTTTTTGTTTAATATAATATCATGACCCATCGTAATATTTGACAAGTTGAAATTAAATGATGTGAGATTGGTTTTTTCTGTACAAAAGGATATCAGATTGAAGTTGCACCATTGTCTCACTTTAACAACATCTTGTGCTATTTTGTTTTGAAGATTATTTTCATTAATGTCATGCCACAAGATGTTTGCATCATCTGCATAAATTGTGAACATTTCCACAGAATCAATATGAGCTAGATTACTGATATATATCAAAAACAATACTGGCCTAAATACCGAGCCTTGAGGTACTCCGTGTCTGACAAATACAATATCTGACAGCGTGTCAGTTCTCACAACTTGAGTTCGTTGCCTCGGATATGATTTCATCCATAAAGGCTTTGATTTCTGAAACCATAGTGCTGGAGTTTGCGCAGCAAAATTTCATGGTTCACACAATCGAAAGCTTTCGACAAGTGACAGAAGACTGCTGCGCATAAGTTTTTCAAGTTCAACTCAGAGTAAAGTCTTTTCAGCAGATGGAAAATTGCATTCCCTGTACTCCTTTTGAATTGAAAGCCAAATTGTTGAAGATTTAAGATTTTGTGGGCAGATATGAAATTCATCAACCTGATTTTTACCAATTTTTCTATAATTTTTCCAAGGGTTGGAATAAGGGAGATAGGTCGAAAGTTTGTGGGATCCGAGGTATAACCGCCTTTGTGAAGGGGGATCACATTTGCTTCAAGAATTGGCGAAGGAGAGAAAAGATTGGCATATTCTCAAAAATTCTTATCGATATGGTATCGATGCCACGAGAAGTTGCATTTTTGATATGCTTCATTGTATCTATCAGCTGTATCAGATTGGTTTCATTTAAAATAAATGTTTCATCAATATTGATGTTATTCATGAATAATAATTGATCTGGTGCTTTATCTATATTATTTGACAGTGGAGTTTTGCCCCGCAACTCATTCACTAATCGCCATGTTTTTCTGATGGTATCCTTACTTTTGCAGATTCTGTTATGGTAATAGCAATTTTTTGCTGCTTTCACAACTTTTCTATAGATACTTCTGAATGTATTGTAGTACTGAGTAAAGTGTGCACTATCGGTGAATTTTGTAATGAAATGTAGGCTTCTCAGATTCTTGGCAGAAGTACGAATTCCTATAATTAGCCAAGATTTTTCAATTTTGTTTTTATTTTTTATTTTCTGCTCAGGGAATGATGATTCAAAACAATTAATATGACAATCGTGATAAGAAAGAAGGGGATCATCAAGGTATAACACAGAATTCCAGTCCTCATTCAAATATATATTATAAATTGTTTCGTAGTTTGTTTTACTGAACAAACTTCAAAATTTAAATGTTTTCTCATTAACGTTTTAATTGAGTTTCACACCACTGTAGACAGCTTCATGATCTGAAATATTTACTGCTATAACAGAGCATGTAACATTTTCTTCCGACAAATTTGTGCAAACGTAGACAATTTTACTTTCGGAGCCTTGTGTAATTCTGGTGGTGCCGTTCTGGTGTGCATGTACAAGTGTAGAGATGTGAGTAGATTTTTTAATTACTGTGTTGAAAATGAATGTTCATCATCAAGGTTAATATTGAAATCACCAGCCATAATTACGATTGCCTTCGGTGGTAATTTACTTAAAAGCAGCTCCAATTTTTCTATAAAAAAATTGCTCTTAACATTAGCATTAGGTAACCTGTATATACGCAAGGTGAATAGGTTGGCGCTACTAGAATATGCAAATGAAAATTCAAATTGCTTTTCTGCAATCATATCATCATATTCATATATATCAATTAACTAAAGATGAGATGGTGTGATGTTTCGAATGAAGATTATAGTACCTCCAACAGCTAAATTCATTTCTACTGAAATTAAAGAAAACACAGTAGTTGGGTAAGTGAGTTGGTTCATTTCTCTTCAGCCAATGTTCAGTGATTACCAAAATATAAGGAAATTTTAGGCTTTCCAGCAGTTTGTTATGAATAGATTGTACATTAGTTATTACTGAAACTACCCGCTCGTCTTTTCGAGATAAGGATAGGCAAAAATATTTCATCGATTGTCATTCGAAAGTTTGGGAATAGACCAATCATCATTCAATTACATATTTAGAGGTAATATCGACTTGTCTGTTCTCGAAGTATCAAGAATGCTTTTATTGATATGAACAGAGTTACTTGGTAATGTTGTTTTAAGTACTATTGTATTAAGAAAAAAAGTAGTTGATCAACTTATATGTTGTTCTACATCATACGTTGCGTGAATCTTTATACCTCGCACGCTAAAATAACACCCACTATCCCGAAGTATTTTGGATAACCATAATATAGAGACACACTATTTTCGGAAGCAAACCTGACTAGTAAAATATATTTCAATTTTCCGTATAATCAAGTTTTTCCAAGCAATAATAACGCCATCCAGTTACATCATCTATTCGGAAATGGAGTAGTTTTTCAACAAGATAAGTTTCCTTCTCATTGTGAAGTACCAGTGCGACAGTTCCTCAATAATAACTTTACCACCCAAATCTTACGATTTGACTCAACTGGATTATTTTATATGAAGTGGTTGACATCAACAGTCTACAAGACGCAGCCAACTACTGTAGAAATAACCAGGTTACCTAGGCTACTAACACTTGATATTGTTCAGAATATATGGAAGGATATAGAAGATCATTTATTGCATCACGAGTATATGCGAATCATTCAAATACATACTCAAAACAGTATTTTATACATACATATTCATATACATTTTCATTCGACTATTTTTTCCATCTGAATTCTTTTACATAAATGAATATATTTTTATGTACAATAACAGAGAGAAAATACATGACATTTTCTATTAGCGACTGAGGATTCCATGACAATGTGAAATATTAAATAGATCAACATGCTCTCTTGAGAATTGTTTCCATGAGATACGATATGAAGTTTCTGAACTAAATGCTAGTTCATTCGGATTTTCAGATGATTAACATATTCTCAGTCACATTTTCAAATGAGATACTTTCCATTACGCTATTTTTTCAAAGATCATAACAACGATGTAGTTTTACATACCTTCAATTAATGTGCAACATATGTAGATATATACATTTCTACTAGGTGGTGTTGAAAATCAATTCTCATCACCGACCTCACATCCACACATTCTGTTAGGGACGAGTTTTTTTAGAGTTTACTTTTTGAATTTATATTCCCCTTACTTTATAACCATGAGAATTCAATATCGAAAGAGCGCCCATTATTCATTGCTCTCAACCATAGATATTACTCATATTGGGGAAATTGTGGTTTGAGTTTGAACTGGAAGAATCCCTGATAGGTGGACGACGTGAATACTGGTTGCAGGTGTGGGATTTATATTGAACTCGGATGTTTTCAGTACATATTCAGATCCTCCATCGATATGTGTGGTAGATGGAATATTTGATGTCTTATACTAATATTACGAACCGAAATACTTAATATTTCTCACCAAGTTGGTAAACGTAAGCGATTTTCCCAGAAGTATATAATTCATAACGATAACGGAATTACATTCTTGTAATGTATTTCTAATATTTGATTGTTTATAACCCCTAGAAACGAAATACTTTTCAAAATGAATGACATATTACTGAATTTGACCAGAAATGTTAGTGTGTTCCAATGGAATTCAAATATAGATTCATTCAACTTGTCAATGGCTCTTTCATTATACGTTTTGCACACTCAGATATTTCCAACAAATGGAGATGGGTTGTATTGATCATTTCTTCGGCATTATGTTTTGAAGTTAGTCGTCATAAAATAAATCAAAAGAAAAATATTATTTTTCATAAAGATCAATGAACTGGATAAGTTCATATTCGTACATCAAAAAGTGCTTGATTTCAAAGCATAATTATTGAAACTACTCACGATGAGTTCAACTGGTAAGTAGCTGAAAATATTGACAAATTTGAAACATATACCAGTGGAAGTAACAAAATTTTTGAAATAACCTAATATAAAAATGTTCGGAACTGATAAGATGTTGAACAATCTCCATCAAATTGTTCGTGAAAAATCTACAGTGATGAAATTGTCTTTCGAATCAGTGGGCAAATGATGATTTTTCCTCGTTACTTGAATCATTTCAAAAAGTTCATTGAATGTTGGGGAAGGAATAACTTAGATACTTCTTTATATAATATTCAGATATTCCTAAAATTACCTAGAAGACAATAAATTCAAATTAATTTCAATGATTCGAAACATTTTTTTCTGGAAGTATATTCTGGAACAAAAACATTCTTTAAATGGATCATCTGCAT